ACGCAATCATTGGCTTCGGAGAATGCCACACTCACACATACATACAACAAAAACTCAACTAAATTGGTCAACTAAATTAATTTTAAAACTCAATTGATGAACTAAATTAGCTTAAAAACTCAAGAAAAGTTTCAATTGTTAGTTGAAAACTAAAACTAAAACTAACAGTTTGTACTTTTCAGTTCAACTAAATCTGCTCAACTAAATTAGTTTAGCTGCTGGGAAACTAAACTAATTTAGTTGAGCCAATTTAGTTAAACTAAAAACTGTCAACTACTTTAGTTGAAAAATTTAGTTACAACTTGGCAACTATTAGTTTTTAGTTGAGAGTTTAGTTCAACTAATTTTTAGTTAATAATGCCCAAGTCTGCAAGACAGTGTTATTCATTTAAAAAAAGCTAGAAAAATGTCATTTAACCACAATCCAAGACTGCCAGGGAAATAAGCTTCTACCTCATCCACCCTACCTCATGCTACCTTGCATCTACATACCAACTATCTCTTCTGAGCAATGACGTACTTACTGAAGGTCGACAGTGTTATTCATTAAAAAAAAGCTAGATACAAGTCATTTAACCACACTCCAAAAATATGCACTGCCAGGGAAATAAGCGTCTACCTCATCCACTCTACAGCCTTACCTTGCATCGCCATACAAACTATCTCTACTGCGCAATGGCGTACTTTGGAAAAAAGAACGTTTCATTCATTGCAAAAACTGGTGAAAATGCGTTGCAATCCACACCCAAGAAATGCCCTCGCAGATAAATAAGATTCTACCTCAATCACTCTACAGCCCTGTCCTTCAACTTACCGACTGCTATCTTTTCTGGGAAAATACGTACTTACGGAAAACGAACGTTTCATTCATTAAAGAAACTGGTGAAAATGTCTTTTCATCAAACACACGGAGATGAACTGCCGGAGGAATAAGCTACCTACCATCAAATACCGACCTCACCCATTCAGAAAACCTTTCCAAAAAACACGCAATGTTTCAAGAAAAAACGTTTCCAATATTGTACAAGAAGAAAACATATGCCCATATAAATCTAAGGAGTGATTGTGAGGAGCAGCAAGATCTTAAATAACATTTAACTATCGAATACGATGGACTATAGCCTGTCGACTGTTGTATTATTGTATATAAATAGTTATGAATATAAAAAATACTCAAGTTTAAGTTGAATCATTTATATCATTATATAATGTGTGCAATACACGTAAATTGACCATTCTCTTCATGTCGGTTAACGTGAATGTTATTATTGTAGAATTGGTAGGATATATGAATGTAAATTCAATAAAAGTTTAAGAGTAAGAAACTTGTTGATAAGGGAACCTGATGCTATGTTTGATGTAGGGCTGCAAGATGATTTAGAGGTTTGTTTATATTAGCTGTGTTTGCTACAATATTAGATAAATTATATCGAATTTTTTTATTCAACTCGGATTTCTCACCTGGCATGAATCTTTTCCTCCTTTTTCGTAACCGGCGCAGAGCATGTTGTCGGTGATCTGGCTTTTCGAGTATTCGCTGTTTCGGCATTGCTCATTCGACATAATTGGAACTTCAAGTTCTCGTAAAACCGGCGAAGTTGACGCCTTGACTGACTTTCCTCTCCATCTGATCTTGCTTGCCGACGTCACTCCCCAGCCGGTCACGATACCGGTCTCTCCGGCAAAACTCTTCTCTAAGGATCAAACAATTAATTATTAACTCAAAGCTATCTTTATAATTATGCACAACTAGGTTATTTCAGGTTCAAATCTGTCAAATAAATAACTCCCAAAATACTTCATATTCCTTCATCATCCCATACACAAATATAAACTAACCTAGGTAAGGTATCGACCTAATCGTTATTATTAACCACCAAATATATTACGCTAATAAATACATTCACTATCCCTTTTGTTCTTAAATACTATTTAATCCAGCAGGACGATGGACTACTCAATTTCATCATCAAAATAATCAGGCTAATAAATACACTATTTGCTATGAAATATGTTTTTTTCTCTAAAGATGACATCAGTAGGATGACAAAGTGGACTATACAATTTCCCATTATCCTACAAACAAACTATAAACTAACTTAGGGCTGGCCGATGTATTCAAATGTCATATTGAAACCTCTCTCGCTAATAAATACATTCACCATATCATTCGTTTTTAAATACCTTCTTTTCTAAACTACCCAACCAATAACCCATCCTAGTCTGCACGATGTCTACTCGATTATCAAACTTCTTACGCTAATAAATACACTCATTATATAATTCATTCTTAAATACTTTATTTTTTATGCTGTTAATTCCAAGAAGGGCGATGAAGTACTCAACATTCTACTATCATACTAGACCCAAAGAATAAATAAACCTTGGTAGATGAGGTATTAAAACCCACCATAAAATCTCTCACGCTCATAAATACACTCCTTATCTTACACTTTTTTAAAATAGTTTCTTTTTAATGTATACAATTTATTAAGCCTACTCAATAATCCTACCTCAATTTTGTGTAATGAGATCTTCTTTAGAGTTATATGGAGCAAATTCAACATTTTGGGCTGTGCCGAGCTTTCGGTGGATTATTCCACCACCAACAGGGCCTATTTATTAAAAAATAACTTAAATACAAAGTAACGTAATCTAAGTTGTTAATTGTTTTATGTCAATTTAAAAAATAAATAAGACTTGTTGATGGTGGAATAATCTACCGAAAGCTAGGCACAGCACAAAAAGTTGTTTTTGCACCATATGACCTTTAAAGAAGATTTCATCACCCAAAATTAATTTACTGCAGGTCAATAAACATCCAAAACAATCCTACGTCATTCCATTCTATGCTAAAATTATAAATCATGTTAAGACAGGTTGATGATGTGGTTCCGTCATCATTCCTCTCACGCTTATAAATACACTCTCTCTCCTTCATCCTTTAATACTTTCTTTTCTATAACTTTCCCTTCTGTAAAGTGATGAATGTCCTATGTTTAAACTTATAAACGTCATAAGCCAGATCAATGGAGTACTCAATTGTAATAGAATAATAATTAAATCTCTCACATTAATAAATACCTACAAACATTAAACCACCCTAGGTTACGACGATGCCTATTCGATTCTTTCATGAACCTGCTATTAAACAAATTCACTACCTTATTTATTCTTTTCTAATTACAATGTTTTTTCATTTCATTTCATACTATTTGGCATTCATTCCTTTAGGGTGATGGATTAATCAATAATCCTCCATCACCTTTACTAACTCAGGTTCAAATCTGTCATCACACGTTAATAAATACACCCAATATTACATTCTTTTCTACAAACAGTGTACTCCAGTACAACTACTTACAAAAGTGTAAGTGTATTAATCTATTGGATTATTGGGGGCGTCGGTGGCCGCAATGGCTTAGGCGTTGACACGGCGCTCATCACTGTAAGATCCCGGGTTCGAATCCAGCGGCTCTGCATTCGAACCCGACATACTTACAAATGGTTTTTTTTTTAAAAACCGACACCCTGAGGGTTTATATGATCTCTGCTGTTGCGAACTCTCGTAAAAAAAATTGGGTTATTTCAGATGAAATGTAAAAGTTTTTTAGTAAAATTACTATATAAAAACAAAATCATCACGATCTCCAAATAATCGTTAATTAACGGTCACTAAACACCACACATTTCTTATTGATATTCATGAACTAACTAGCTATTTTTTACGAGGGTTCGCAACAGCAGAGGTCATATGAACCCTCAGGGCCGTTGCTTTTGAAAAAAAGCCCATTCGTAAGTATGTCGGGCTCGAATCCAGCGGTCCTGCATTCGAACCCGATATACTTACAAATGGTTTAAAAAAAAAAAACACCGGCACCCTGAGGGTTTATATGACCTCTGCTGTTGCGAACCCTCGTAAAAAAATTGGGTTATTTCAGACGAAATGTCCGTTTCCAATGTATAAGTTTTTTAGTAAAATTACTATATAAAAACAAAATCATCACGATCTCCAAATAATCGTTAATTAACGGTCACTAAACACCACACATTTCTTCTTGATATTCATGAATTAACTAGCTATTTTTTACGAGGGTTCACAACAGCAGAGGTCATATGAACCCTCAGGGTGCCGGTGTTTTTGAAAAAAAGCCCATTCGTAAGTATGTCGTGTTCGAATGCAGGACCGCTGGATTCGAACCCGGGACCTTTACCTTACAATGATGTCAACGCCCAAACCGTCGCGGCCACCGGCGCCCCCTAACTAGCTTACTATTTTTTGTATTAAATTATTGCTTACAAGCTTTTATAAAATTCACTAATTTCGTGGTCCGCTTGACCAATTAATACTTTACAATTAATTAAGGTTTTTAGTTTAGATGAAAAAAAGTTAATGGCACGAGAGGGATTCGAACCCACGACCTTCGGCTAGATACGCCGCTGCTCTACCACCTGAGCTATCGTGACCTCGATTTTTTTTCATCTAAACTAAAAACCTTAATTAATTGTAAAGTATTAATTGGTCAAGCGGACCACGAAATTAGTGAATTTAATGAATTAAAATGAAGTACACTTCACTAAAACTCTCCGTCGCCATTTCAATTGTCGTCGAGAATCCAAACCGATTACACGACGTTTGAAAAATGGCAAAAGGAGGGAAAACTCATAAGGTGGGGTTGAGATGGGGAGTTGATGTCCGAGTGGATCGAGGTCACGACAGCTCAGGTGGTACAGCAGCGGCGTATCTAGCCGAAGGTCGTGGGTTCGAATCCCTCTCGTGCCATTAACTTTTTTTCATCTCAACTAAAAACCTTAATTAATTGTAAACTTTTATAAAATGTAAGAGGAGTTTTTAAAAATAAGTTTGTTTTGGCATGGAAAATTTTCTCTAAGTCTAGTCTGGTTGTTTATGAACATTGAGATGTACCTATCCTCGCTGTTTTGTCCTGACATAGTGTGACAGGCCGGCAAAAATGATTAAAATAATATTTATTATGTATTATTTTTAAAAGGTGTTAATTTTATAACCTAAAACGTGATTATTTATGGAATAAGAGACCTGTATAATATTAATAAATAACCTGAGAAGTTTTTTCTACATTTTGAAGGAAGCACAGTGATAACTTGTTGAGTGATTGGAAAATTTAAAAATAGATAAACAGTTTCCCGCGGCTCTATTTATCAATAGAGAAAAGTAATTAGGAGGGACGAAGTCAATTAATAGTGCAATTCTCTCTGGAAGTGGCAAAAGCTAATGGGCCCGTGAAAGCTGGTAGACGTGTTAATCCGAGATCGACTTCACTGCGCTTGACGACTCAATAATGGGAACACAAAACGCTAACTGTTTTCAATTCAAGTGTAGCTCGGTCGAAAAGTTTTTTCTTTTAAACGTCAGGACAGCTGCACCAGCGTTGTTTGTATTTTTATTTAAAGGCCATTGTATCTATTAAAAAAAAAAGAAAAAGTGAGGATAGAATTTTATCGGGAATTAAAGCCAGTTTTGCCGCAGGGGATAGGCTTTTCCACATCTCTTTGTTTCTTTACAGACAGTTTTATTAGCAAAAATGAATGCAATTGTTTACTCCCGGCTTTGTCATCCCCATCTGGGTTAACATTACTGTAAATAATATAACTTGAACTCTCAGTACACGGGTTTACAGTCCTTTTAGCTTTGTGGAAGTCGGTTTTGAAACGACTTTTTCACCGACGTGTTTACAACCGATTCAAAAGGGCGAACAATATAATGGAATAATAGAATAATAGAAGATAGCTTTTATGTATATGTGCAAAGTCACTAGATTCTAAATAAAACAATAATAAAACAGTAATTACGGGCTGATGTTTTACTCACTGGGTGGAGGAAGGCAAGCCGGCATCAATTCGTCGTCAATCTCGACTTCTTGGTCCAATTGGAGAAGGGCTATATCGTTATCGAGGGTCGTAAGGCTAAACCCAGGATGTTTTATTGCGGAGACGACTTTTCTTTCTATTGTCATCGATTCAGTATCAGTTTTCCGATCGTGCTCCAAAAGTCTCACTTTGATTTTGGAAGCGTTAAATCTGAAAAGAAAAATCTTTACGATAGTACAATCAAGCGCTCAAAGCTTAGCCAAGTTTAACACAATGATTTAATGTCAATTAAATTTTGTTTTGCTAAAAATATATACCTCTGCCGCATGTTAAACCCGCTATGCAATCATCTTAGTTGAAAAACCAAAGATTCCTATTCTCGCTGATTATGCATGCTGGAGCGTTTTGGCTTTTCGCAATCTTCACTGTTGTAGGATTGCCCTTTAATTTAGGATTTTACTCAATAATCGGTTTTTAGTATTACACACTAAGTCAGACGTGTTTTCGCATTTCATCAGAAGTGATAGTGAAAAAGATGGATGATGGACAGAGAACAACTTGCACCTCGATCTAAAAGATTTATTGCGCCCATCTGCTTTGGTTAAAGCTCACTGGGTGGAGGAGAGTAAGTAATCTTTAGGCTATTTCATATTAAATTTGAAAGAATTTTTTAAGGGTTGGTTAGAAAATCGGTGGCTGTAGGAAATCGCCCTGGCCTGGCTATTCTCACAAGTTTTGTCAGTTATGTGCTTCAGATGTGACAGATGTGTAAGGTATGTGAAGTGATGAATCTGCATCAATAGGAAATCATCGAGATTTCGATCATAACACCACCTTGTCTCACTAGATTTGTCTGTTATATCGCCTTTTAACTATTATTGGAAGTAAGTCTGCTATTGATTCGTGAGGTAGGTACCACAAGGTGAAGTAGAATGTAATCATCATGGTATCTGTCAGGCTTGCTTCAGATGTAAAAGATGTTAGTAAGGACTATGAAACAATGAAACTATAGAGAATCGCCCTGGCCGCATAGTCTCACTAGATTTATCTCTCAGATTGACTTTTAACTATTTGGTAGTTGGTCTTTTATTGTATCATGATGTGATTAACCTGTAGTCTATGTAATCATCTTGATATTGTCTGTCGGAAATGCTTTGGATATAAAAGATTTTAGTAAGGAAGTGAGGTAGTTACGGTGAGGCAATGGCCTTTGCTATACGGAATCGCCCTGGCCCACATAGTCTCACTAGATTTATCTCTTAGATTGCCTTTTAACTATTTGGTGGTTAAAGATGAGATGATGGATCGACCTGCTACTAAACTGCGTGGAAAAAGGATCTTCCGTGAATTCACAACGGAACAATTCACAACAACCTCATGATACAATAAAAGACGAACCACCAAATACATAGTGAAAGGATCTTCGGTGAGGTCACAAGGGAACGACAATTCTTTCGGTTTTTGCCGAGCTTTCGACGATTCATCATCAAGGCCTGTTTGTCGATGTAATCGTCGAAAGCTCGGCAAAAACCGAAAGAATTGTCTGAGAGAAATATGAGGTAATGAACTGTAACTATATGGAAACATCCTCGCCGCCTAGTCCCACTGTTTTGGCAGTCAGACGTACATCGCTTTTAGCTATCTTTAGTCATGAGGTGATTAACTTGTAATGGGATGAAATCAACTTGGTATTGTCTGTCAGAAATGCTTCGGATATAAAAAATGTTAGTAAGGAATGTGAAGTCCATCCAAATCATAGTCCCACTGTTTTGACAGTCAGACGTACATCCCTTTTACCTAACTTTAGTCATGAGGTGATAAAACTGTAGTGGCATATATCCGTCCTGGTTTTTGTCTCTCAGACGTGCTTCGGCTGTAAAAGGTTTTAGTAATGTCTGCTGGTGATAAACGACGCCTAGTCTCACTGGTTTTGTAGTCAGACGTGTTTCCGCAAATCACTATCTTCAACTGATATGTGTTATGTTATTCGTGGTATATTTAATGTGAAAAATTAGGTGACGAGCCAGCAGAATTCTAGTCTTACCGGCTTTGCTAGCTCGACGCGTTTCGGCATCTTTAATGGCCTGTGCGTTTTTCTGGTATATGTATTTTTCAATATAAGTTAAATAGGTAGAATACCTATAAAAATATTGATAGGATTTTAGCTTTTGAGCAAGAGTGTCCTAGCTACTTTAGGCTAGCAGGTTTTGTCTGAAGAACGAATTTAAATATTAAATTATTAAATTGGTCTGTGTTTTTACTGTAAATAGTGCTGTTTTATGATAAATTTCAAAGATTGTAGTGAAATCTGCGCAGGGTTGAATCTGTTGCAGAATGAAAACGTATTCCTACTAGTTCTGTTTGTCAGACAGGTTTCGGCATCTGAAGCTTATCCTTGCTGTCTCACTTCCACGGAGACAAAAAAAATTTCTATAGAATTGCACAGTTTTCCTGTAGAGCTACATTTTTACTATTTTGAACAAAAACTGGTAACGACACTTTACAATACTTTTCTTGGTTTGACTATTCTCAGGTTGATTAGGTCCATAGGCGTGCTTTGATGTTACTCTGTCGTATATGATTCCTTGCTTTGTGTGATATTATGTCACTCGTGTCTTTTTCTATTACATCATGAACATGGTAGGTTGGCAAGTTAGTTTGGCCATTCGATCACAATCGACCACAAAAGTAATGTGCCTATCTAGCTTGTTATGCTTTATGCATTTTGCCATCTTCAGTGGTTGGTTTAATTGCTATTATGCTGCTCGTTTCCTTTGTATTAAACTGAAGAAAATGAGTAAGTATTTCCATGACCAAATCTCGCTGGTTTTACATGTTCGAAATGTTTATCGCCTTTTTACTTAGACAAATAATTCTATAAAATTGTCCGCTTTTGATGAAGCAAGTTCGTATTTAACTATGTTCAACTATTTTAAACATAAACTGAGAACGACAATTTCTATTCTCGTTAATTTGGTCTGCCTGTCGGAATTTAACATTACACCTTTCGATTGGCCTGCGTTATTTTGACAGTTCTGCTATTATATAATAAATTGTAAAATATTTTGGCGAAATCTGCTAGATAAGTGGTTCTAAGTCTACCTAGTGTACATATTATAAAATTGATAGACTAATACTATCGATTTTTGTTTTGACGCCATCTTCAGTGGTCTGGCCAGAGTGATCGAATTAAGTAAAATTTTAATGAAAATAATGCAAAAACAAAAAACAAATGCTGTTCAACGTGCTCACAACATAATAGAGACAGTGTGCAGATTGAATCCTTGAAACATTAATGATGCCAGACTAGACTTCACAGACATAAATTTTCATTAAGGTTTCATCCCGTAAAAACATTTCATTACTTCTCATACATGAAGATTTTATGTTTTATTACTAGATAATTTCAAACTGAATATCACTTCAACGTATTATTTATGGAGATAGATTTTAATTTAACAGTATGATTTCGATGTTTGGACGGTTTCGAGGTTTTTCTGTTTAATAAAAGGACACGGTTGAGAAAATTACGAACAGACCCACCACTGAAGATGGCGAAGATCCATATTCGTTAAAAAAAACACAAAAAAAACACGCTTGATTATTTTAATTTTCTAGTTTGGTAATTTAATTTTATTTTGAACGGTCTTTGCTGTTTCGGCCTGTCAGACGCGTTTCGCCTTCTAGACATTTTCATTGCTTTCTTAGCCTGTGCGGTATTTTGTCAACATTGGAGCTTTTTATTGGATAACCAAAGCAGAAACGTGTATACCAGGTCAAAATTATGAGGATAGTCAGACCAAAAATAAACCCTTTTGACCTTTTCTCAGTTTGAAAAAAAAAACTACAGTTTTTCTCTGTACACTGGAAATGTTATTATGTCAATTTATATTATTACATAAAAAGTTCCATGTTCTGTTTAAGGTAAATTAACGTACAACAAATACAAAATGAGTGAAGTAATGTCAGACTTAGTGTGACCTGTAATGCGAGGTAACGAAAAAACAGAATGGATGTGCAGAACGGTTTTACCAAATGTCGGAAGCAGGGTAGAAAATATATTGTTAAAATCTGATATTGAAAACAGGGAGAGTGACTCTTCAATTTTCGCTAGGTGATTTATTTAGGTATCAAACTACTATAGATTTATGGGAGTTCGGGCAAGGTCTCGGTTTCAGTCTGTCAAAACGTAATCGTTCCCGATTTTGCCTGTGATACCGATATCCCGGCCCGCCTGGTGTTCACAAAAAAAAAAAAAAAAAAAATTATTACCCTTTGGTGCAGTGAGCGGCTGTAAGGACGTATTTTGAATTGAGGAGTGTCCCACCACAGTAAAATTCGTTTTCGTACGTTAGAAGAGCCATCCATGGATATTCGTTCACTTCGGTTTCCCTACCGCCGACGATCCTGATTTTCTTATTTGTCAAACCGCAAGCTTGAAAATTTCAACAGTTATGGCACTTTTTTTTGTGTTGAAAGAGTTTTTAAATGTAATGAATTTTACTTACGGCATGGTTTGCATTTGGATTGATCGATGGGATCCGGTGGAACTGGGGTCGGCTCGAAACCTCCGATGCCGAGATTGGAGAGAAGGCTTGCTATCCACTCAAGAATGGACTGCCGGTTCTCCTCGAATGCAATGTAACCTCCTTTTTCAGAGTCTTCACGAAAAGGTAACTCACTCGTTGTATTCAATTCTTCATCATTCTTAATTAAAAAACATAAAAATATCTATTAATTTTTTTGTTAAACTGACAATAGTTACATCAAACATGACATCACAAGCCTTTGGCTATCTTACTTAGATCTATTTATAAAAACTGGGTTTATTTTATGATATAACATTAATCTACTGATAACGATTTCAAATTCCACGACACAAACCAATTTCAAATTTGAAAAGGGAAGGAACGACTGCAGTTCGCGAAATTCTGAAAGCTTAGCTATAAATTTAGGCTAGACATTTAGAATAATATCAAAGCCGATCGCACGACATTATTTTCAAAATAATATAAAAGGACACGACAAACACACAAATCAACCAGGAGATGTCATAATGTTCAAACCGGGTCTATAAGTACCAGCGGGATTCCTCACTGAAGATGGAGAGAAGCCAAAGCGCGTGATCAATGTCGATCAATTTAACATTTATTTATCGAGTTAGCGACCAATCAACATCCCCAAGAGAATTAAACAAGTGGGTCATGATGAATTCAGAAGGTCTAAATAGAGATCATCCCCTTGAAAACGTTCTAACAATTCTTCTCAATTAAATATAAAAGGACACTAATGACATAATAACACACAGACTAACCACCAAAGATATATAATTTTAATTTTAACTAACTCTAATTTTAATTTATTTTTATTAGGTTTCGTGGTTCCCTTGACCAAATAAATTCTTTTCAATTAATTAATCTTTAATTAAAGTCTTGGTTGAGATAAAAAAGTCAGTGCCACAAGTGGGATTCGAACCCACGACCTTCGGCTAAATACGCCGCTGCCCTATCACTTGAGCTTAAGTCACGATCGATACCATGCAGACCAAGACGATTCCAGATGGTCAAGCTTGAGTTGGTATTTCACCTCGCTAACCTAATTACAATTTCTGTTTGGTGGATTTATTGAGATGCAAAACACCGACACTGCCCATGATGACTTCGAATGATCGAAATACAGGTGGCTTATGATCTCGCCAACCTCACTACAATTTATTATAAAAGGACGTATGACACAGGCGATTCGCTGAATGTGGCTAAATGTCACAACTCGTTTGAGATGCCACCGAGGATGGGCTGACCAGTTTTCGAAAAATACAACTAGAGATAATTCATAAATCATGAGATGGTTCATCCAACCTCAAAGAGTTTTTGCTCTTATGCTTTAAATAAATCATTTAATTATAGCAAAACTTTAAAGATGAGAGAAAATGCGGTTTGACTATCTACTGTCGTGCTTGTCTTGTCCATTTCCGCTATTTTGTCGGTCAGTTGTGCATCTTATATTATGAAAGGACACAAGTGAAAAAACCCAGGTCAATAATTAAAATGCCAAAACGCACAAATCTCTATGAAAACTCAAGCGAGACTAGGCTAACCACGATGATTTCAGATGATCAAATTTGAGTTGGTCCATTACCTCGCCAACCTTACTCCATATTTTCTCATCTTAATAAAAAAAATAGTTAGCCATTTAGTAGCATAATAGCCTCCAGGTCATCTTTGACCATGGTAAAAATCCAAGCCTCATCTGAAATGCAAAACAACTGACACTAGACAAACCACGGTGATTTCAGTTGATCAAGCTTGGGGTGGTTCATCATCTCGCCAACGTTACAACAATAATTCAAGTTAAAATAAAAGGACAGGGATGACATAATAACACACGGGCTAACCCCTGAAAGTGGTAAAATGGTAAATCAAATAAAGATAAAATAGCGAAAACAGGCTGTCCAAGTCATTTTCAGAATGTAAAACCCGAGATGGTCCACCACTTACACACTACAATTTATGTCAATTTAATGTAAAATGGTGTGAGCGACATAATCTTCCTATAACATTTTGCCAACGTAACTACACTTTGTGTCAATTTAATGTAAAATGATATGATTCGCATGATCTTCCTATATCATTTCCACAGCATTATTACAATTTATGTCAATTTAATGTAAAATGATACGATTCACATGATCTTCCTATATCATTTCCACAGCATTATTACAATTTATGTCAATTTAATGTAAAATGATACGATTCACATGATCTTCCTATATCATTTCCACAGCATTATTACAATTTATGTCAATTTAATGTAAAATGATACAATTCACATGATCTTCCTATATCATTTCCACAGCATTATTACAATTTATGTCAATTTAATGTAAAATGATACAATTCACATGATCTTCCTATATCATTTCATCAACCTTACTGCAATTCATGACAATTTTATGTAAAATGGTATGAGTAACATAATCTTCCTACATCATTTCGCCAACCTTACTACAATGCATGTCAATTTAAGTAAAATGATATGAGCGACATAATATTACTATATCATTTTGCCAATCTTACTACAATTTATGTCAATTTAATCTAAAATGAATCGTTACAATTTAATTATAATATTAGATTGTCGTACACGTACAAATATCTACAGGAATAATTGAAGTCTTCAAGTCCGATTTATTTAAACAAAACAATAAAATAAAAATTTAATTAATGAACATAATTATATCAAGAGGGAAATATACAATAAATGAAAAATGCGACGAAACGGGGGAATTTTTTTTTAAAGAAAAGATGAGTGCGTGAAGTGCATAGGAAGCTTTGCATTAAGGGGTTCCTCAGGTTTCTCAAGCAATGACTAGTTAATCTTTCAGGCTAACCGGCAGCAGGCTGTAAAGTTGCAACGGCTCCCTGGATTAATTAATTCCAGGCGGGTTTTGCTAGAGGGTCGTCACGACGACCGTATGCCCGCCTAAGTTTTCAACTATGGAAGGAATCCTTCATCTTCGTCCGTCCAGACTCAACAACCGTCATTATAAAACGTCCTGTGCTCTTTGGACCGTCCCGATTCACAATTTTACTATTCAAAGATTCCCATTTGAAACGGATAAAGCTTAGAATCGAGTTGAACAACTTTTTCACCTGACAAGTAATTTATGTCCCTGAATTCTAAAATTAACAAACTTTCACGATGAAATTACTTCTTATCGTTGTAGGATTCTTAATTGAAAATTTCCTTGAAATTACTTTTATTCTATTCCGAAGTAATAGAAATATACGTCAATAGCTTTTAAACTTCTACGCAAAAAACCCGAATCATATGGAAAAGAACGTTTAGAAACTGTTTACGAATCAGTTTTATTTATTTAATAAAACGTCTATAAGCTAGCTTTCCATTTAGCTTTATTGTGCCTCTACGTTTTCTGTGTTTAAAGGGTCTCTTAGACTAAATATATTGGATAAAATTTAAGAAAAATTGACAGGACTAAGCGTCTGGTGCACTAATCAAGGTTTAAACTGGGTTTACTCTAACCTTGTTTATAAGTTGAACCAGGTTCAGAAAAGAGAGCGTTACACCATCTTTACCGGAACCACCGTTTTATTGAACCTAGTTCAACAAAAAGTTGGTAGAACTGATTGTAATCTCTTTGTAAGATAATAGCAAGTGATCGTAATTATTTATTATTGACATTGTTGGTTGATGTATATAGTTTTTTGTTTTAATAACATGGAAATTTTTAAGTATCTTTTTTGGTTTTTGTTAAAAAAAATAGTGCGGGTAAAAAAAAGTAAATTTACTACTTATTTATTTGGACTTTTCGGGAGTTGAACTGGGCTCAGTACTGATCTGAGTTTAAACCAAATTGGTGCAACTGGGCCCTGATCTTGTCAAGAATTTATCATTAAAAAAAACTTTCTTTTTTAATATATGGGTGATTAACTACCCCCTTTTATTTCTTTTGTATGGAAATAATTAAATAATATAGCACTGGTTTTTACATGTTTTTTAATGTAGAATATGAAAGTGAAATCAAAAATTTTTCAACGTACGGTACGTCTCCGGCCTCAGAATTTTTTTCAAATGGGGAAGTATCAGTTTAAATACGGAATTAAATTCTCCGAAATTTTTAAGAAGATTTAAATTCGGGCACTTTTCTTGTAGAGTTTGTCTTTTAAGAGCTATTAAAGTTGAAAAAATAAAAAGCTCAAATTTTATTTATCTCAATCGTCATTAATTGACCTCCTAGTAACTTAAAGTTAATTACTAATTACTGATTCAATTATCTCCTAGTAAGTTTATTAAGTTAAGCTTAGTAAATTAAATTTTCAAAATGGAAACCACCGTTCTGCGAATTAGTATTATCCCAATATCGGCAATTGTGATGATTCATTTCTTTGGTTTGTAAATAAATATTTGTGAATAAAGAAAATAAGAGATAATGTTGTTTTGGTTCAGTTCATCTCCAGCTAAGGTAAAAGACTGCTAATTTAATTTTTTAAAGTGTTAATTGTGTTTTAGTTGTTAGTTGTTATATCAGGCAATTAATCAACAAATTTGAACAAACAGTCATTGATAAAAAGAAAACAGGTTAGTTTTAATAAAAAAATTAAAAATGGAACTTTTGATCTATGGTAGATATTAATTATTGACGTAATTTCTTTTACAGGGAGTAATAAACTTTTTTAAGAGGCGATAGAGACTTTGTCAAAACTCCTACTGGATCATGCCAGCAAATCGCAGGTAGGCATGATATTTTGAACAGTTCGGTCCGAAATATTCTGAAGAAAAATAAAATTTATTACAAAATTCAACTACATCAAGAACTTAATGAAGATGATTCAGATAGACGCTTTCAAATTTGCGAAATTTTGGACAATTGGAAGTACAGTTGAACCGGATCTGATAATGAGAGTTTGTTTTAGCGAAGGGGGCAACTTTTATTTTAAATGGTGAATTGAATCGTCACAATTGCCGATATTGGTATAATTCTAATCCTTATGCAACGAGGGAATCACAAACCCAACATCCTGAAAAGGGCTCATCGATGGCAATTTAAGAGGAGAAAATTTCTTTGAGCTCTTTGAATAAATTATTTGCTCGTTGATTTACGCTAAGTTGGAAGAAAATGAGGAAGAATTTGAGGAAGGAGAAATGATTTTCTAACAAGATGGAGTGCCACCTCACTCCACAGGAAACGTGAGAGACTTTTTAGATTTCCGTTTCCTTCCAAGATAGATAGAAAGTCGAAGTTTCATCGATTGGCCAGCGAGATCTGCAGATCTAACACCCTTATATTTTTTTTGTGGAGACACATTAAAACAGTGGTGTACCGATCACCTTCAAACAGTCTGGAAGATTTTAACGAAAGGATCAAAGAATGTTGTTGGATAACACCATATACTTTCCGCGAAGTGCGAAAAGACTTCCAAATTGGATTTTGCTTAGTATGAAGATCGGTGGTGCCCATATTGAAAATTAAATTTACTGGGATTAACTTAACAAAGTTACTAGGAGGTAATTTAGTTAGAAAGTAGTAATTAACTGAAAGTTACTAGGAGGTAAATGAATGACGATCGATGTAAATAAAATTTGAACTTTTTTTCAACCTTATAACCCTTAAAGGACAAACTCTGCAAGAAAAATACCTGAAGAATCGGAGAAGAAGAAAAGTTCAAGAATCTTCTTAAAAAAGGTCGTACAATTTAAATGGTATTCAAAATGGTACCTTGCCATTTGAAAAATTGCTGCTAAGCCCTGGGAGCGTACGTTGAAAAACTTTTTTGACTTCAGATTCATATTCTAAAAAAAACTTGTAAAGCCCAGTACTATATTATTTAATTATTTCCAAACAAAAGAACTAAAATGGGATAGTTTATAAATAATCACCCAGTACATATGCTAAACTTCTAAGCTCTATACAAAAAAGCTACTAATTCAACGAAATCTTCGTCACCTGTTTGAAAAATTCATCCATTCACCTACTTATCTATCTACTAATCGAACAAATTCATAATTGTGGGGACTAGATTCAGCGGAGATTTGAAGGTTTGGTTGAACCCATAAAGTTGTATGCCGTATGACTATATCGGTATCAGTATTAAGTTGTGTATGAGTGTTTTGTTGTCATGAGAAAGTTTCGATCTGTGGTCTAATAGTCGGCCCAGTTTTATGTTTTTAAGTCGTATGAGGATTCCCGAGTCATTTGACTAGATACAGCCGTAGGTAGAGGATGCCTTTTTCAGTGGTAAGGGGGAAGGTGAGGTTATAATAGATTGGAGATAGAGTGATGCGACGGAAGGTGAAGTTTATGCTTTGGGACTTAGTAGTATTTAATTAAATTTGACATTTTTTGAACGCTTATTCAATGTAAGATAGGTGTGTCTACATCAGTATATGTCGGGATGAGAAGGGATATCAGCATTACATACAGAATTTTTTGTTGAAATGCAGACCACACAAGGCCCTGAAGATGATCTCAATAAAGATCGAAACGTTGGCCCGATAAAGAAAATATTTTTCTAAAACCTACCTCACAATAGACCGCATCTCACGATCTCCAAATTATCTATTAACTAACGCTCACTAAACACCACACATTTCTACACGAGAAGAACAAGAACATGGGATTCTATGAATAGATTTCAACTACATATGGACACCAAGCAAAGAGTATTCTGAAGGACATCGCCAACAATGAGAAGAAAATTACGGTTTTCAGTTGAGATAAAAAAGACAATGGCACGAGCGGGATTCGAACCCACGATCTTCGGCTTGATACGCCGCTGCTCTCCCACTTGAGCTATCTATCGAACCCCCTCGGACACCAACTTCCCATCTCAACCACACCTTTTGAATTTTCTCTCCTTTTTTATCTCAACTGAAAACAGTAATTAATTGTAAGATATTAATTGGTCAAGCGGACCACGAAACTAGTGAATGAGAAGAAACCTGCATCAATCAGAGAACTTTTTTGTTGAAAAGGAGACAACACAAGGCCCTGAAGATGATCTCAATAAAGATCGAAACGTTGGCACGTTAAAGAAAATGACGGGGATAATTAGGGAAAGAAAAGCCAAATTGTTGAAGACAACTACACAAACAACACAGCAATGACAACAGCAAGAAAGTAATAAAATATCTGAAGCAAATAAATGCATATGGTCGCCTTTAATGCTTCTCCATACGTGGTTTCATTTTCCCTTCCTGAAGTGAGTGTATTTATTTGCGAGAATGTGTGAGTGTATCGGTGGGTAGTGGTCGGAATATCGAGTACCACACAGACCCACCAAACTAGGATAGATATCTCTTTGTGTGTTTTTGGTAGAATGAATGTATTTATTGGCGCGAAAGTGAGTGTGTATGGGTGGGTTGTGCAGGAATATCGAGTACTCCACAGACCCACCGATTTACGTTAGTATTAGGCTATAATATCTTTTAGAGTGAATGGGCGGAGGCACAGTTGTAATATTAAATGCGCCAGTGGCTCCGCATTTTTTAATTTGTAAATACAGAATGATTGGTTACTGTTTGAGTGAATGTATTTATTAGTGCGATAGTAGTGTATGCATGGGTGGGTCTATGGTGGAATATCAAGGACCCCATAAACCCACCACCTAGGTTAATGTTTTAGATTGATTTTAATTTTAATTGTACATAATGTATGGATGTATTTATTAGCGTGAAGGAGGGCGGGTCTTCGGAGGAATATCGAGTACTCTGAAACCCGCCTAGGCTAGGCTAGGATTGAATGTTAGTGAATGAGATAGCTTCAGAGCCTTTTCACCACGTGTGGTAGGGCTTAAAATGTAGAAATAACGTCCCAGAACACAACCAGAAAGATCGCCAGACTTCCTACAGAAAAGCTAATTTAAAAAAAAAATAAAAATAAAAATAAATTTATAAAACGTGAGGTGCCGGCAATAGCCTAGGCAGCTAGCCGGCCGGGGGGAAAAAACAAACATATAATATAACATATAAAACAATCATCACATTTCTGGATAGTCTAATTCTTCAACAATTTGGCTTTCCTTTCCACAATTATCCTCGTCTATATAATCCTGAAAGGATAATCAGGCCGAACCATTACCCACGTTTTTCCCATTGTCGGCTCCTTTCACCTCAAAGAAGCTTCATATAAAAAAGTCTTTCTATCCCGACTTCCTTTTCCTACCCCTTCAAAATCCAACGTACATATACATAAAACAGCAATATCTCACGGGCACAATCAACACGACACACAAGAATGACACATTTACACGGAAAACAAACACTTCGAGTGAGTACAAATACTTTGATTGAATCTAAAATTTTTTCTAGCATTGTATAAATTCATTCTTTTTTTAAATCTAACATTTTCTAGCATTGTATAAATTCATTTGTTTAACTATGAAATTTTCTAGCATTGCATAAATTCATTCTTTTTTAAATCTAAAATTTTCTAGCATTGTATAAATTCATTCTCATCCTATTGTATTTGTAAAATTTAAGTAATTTTACAAATCTCAGGCCCTGAAGATGATCTCAATAAATATCGAAACATTCGTACGATAAAGAAAATGTTTTTCTAAAACCTACGTCACACCAGACCGCATCTCACGATCTCCAAATAATAATTAAATACAGAGTACAGCAGCGGGCCAAGGACGCTACCCTGAGGGACTCTTAAGTTCACCCAGTACAAAGGAGTGTGAGGATCCGACTCATACTCTAAAGTACTTGTCGTGCAGGAAGGATTAATGATGAGGAAGTGTCTATAGGGTAGGATGCCCTTGAGTTTCCAGACCAAACCCAGCCGCCGGACTAGATCGAAGTTTTGATTTTTTTAACTATAAATTTAACATATATATAAGAATTCGTCATGGCTAATATGCAAAGATCATAAGGCAAAAAAAAAAAATATAAATTATAAATTTAGAAAAATAAATGTTGCTAGGAAACTAATTTAAAAAAAGGACTTATGTTTATAATTTTGTATTGCATTATAGAAAAGTAAGAATTAATGAAATTCCAAGTTGAAACTTAACACCCTTTATTTACCGGCCGTAGAGAATTTAGACTTGTACACCTTAAATGACACGGTTAAATTGAATGTAAAATTAGAGGATGCCAGTTTCAGGTTCTGTTGGACACTACTCATTCGATAGCTAATGGGATTCCGATGTGATTGATTTCGCACAACTATCCCATGTGATTTATCAACCGATTGGGCTAGACAGCCCATTTAGGCGCAGATTAATCGATAATGTTTTTATATACGAGTTGAACGAAAACTTACGGTATCGGTTGTAGTCGTCCTTTCCTGGTCGTATCCGGCCTGAAACAATTTTTAAACAATATCGTATCAACAGGATTGGTTTTACGCTTCGGCAGAGACCAGTTTCGATTTCGTGCGTGAACAGTTCATTTGTTATAAAATTAAATCGGGCATTTAGATTTAGATGGGAAACGCATTAAAATATTCCTTTTTAAAACACACTGGGAAGGATTAAAGAGTGCAGATTAATGCATTATTGCGGTTTTTCTTTAATATAAATAATTTAAACAATGATTAATGTGTTGTTTAATTGACTTACCGTCGTGAAATTCGTCGTACTCGCTTTGGTATCTTCTTGACCGCCTAGTAAGTTCGTGTAATTTTCCTAAAAATAAAAATATTTTAAAATTTCTTTAAAAGAAACAAAGTCGAATAAAATAGAGTAAAATATTGTATTGTAAACAATAAAACGATTTGACTATGGTCTATTTATTGTCAAATAGGATTCTTTGCGAATAGGATGCATTCTTTAGTGAAGCTTTTCATAGATTGTTCCCTATGACTATTTGGAGATGGTGAGATGTGGTCTGGTGTGACGTAGGTTTTAGAAAAAACAGTTTGTTTATCATGCCAATGTTTCGATCGTTATTGAGATCATCTTCAGGGCTCAAAGTGTTCGTTTTCTGTGTAGATGTGTCATTCTTTTAGTGCCCACTCTGAATATGACACACAAGAATGACACATCTACCCAGAAAACAAACACTTTGAGCCCTGAAGATGATCTCAATAAAGATTGAAACATTGACATGATAAAGAAAATGTTTTTCTAAATTCACTAATATCGTGGTCCGCTTGACCAATTAAATCATTACAATTAATTAAGGTTTTTAGTTGAGATGAAAAAAAGCTAATGGCACGAGAGGGATTCGAACCCACGACCTTCGGCTAGATACTCCGCTGCTCTACCACCTGAGCTATCGTGACCTCCATCCACTCGGACATCAACTCCCCATCTCAACCCCACCTTATGTTTTCCCTCCTTTTGCCATTTTTCAAATGTCGTGTAATCGGTTTGGATTCTCGACGACAATTGAAATGGCGACGGAGAGCTTTAGTGAAGTGTACTTCATTTTAATTCATTAGATTCACTAATTTCGTGGTCCGCTTGACCATTTAAATCATTACAATTAATTAAGGTTTTTAGTTGAGATGAAAAAAAGCTAATGGCACGAGAGGGATTCGAACCCAAGACCTTCGGCTAGATAAGTCGCTGCTCTACCACCTAAGCTATCGTGACCTCGATCCACTCGGACATCAACTCCCCAGTTTTTCTAAATGTACGGTACACCAAACCGCATCTCACGAACTCCAAATAATCATTAACTAACGGTCACTAAACAGCACACATTGATCCCTATGTTTATAAATATGGTCTATTTAATGTGTATTTTGGGAGTATCAGGAATAAATTTTAATGAAGGAAAAACGCTCAGCTTCTTCGTAAAGCTTTCGAGGAATGTACCCCTTTCATCAGGGCTTTAAACTATTTCTAATGATTTACACATTTAACAAATATAAATGTATAGTTACAATACAAAAAAATTATGACTTCAACCATGAATTTGTTTTCCATTGCTGTAAAATACTTCGTCGTAGTTAGAAAATTTTAGATAATATAAATATATTGAAAAGAAAATCACGAAAATGTATTTGTGCAAAGGGAAACCAGGAAAGGTAGACCTTTTATTTTAGGTTTTAAAATGAAAATATTGTTCCCTCGAAAATTGGCCAGCGATCTCGCCTGAAGGAAAAAATCGTTGGGAGGTAATTTTATCCCATTTATTTGAAGTCCCTTAGATTTATAAATTCGATTAGCTTAAAGCGTTTGTCCGCCGGTATGGATTCTTCCTCAGGTTCGGCGGAGTGGAGGAAAAAGAAAAAAATGCTGTAAAATACTTTTCCACTTTTAAATATTATGTATTGTTACGATTTTCCGAATAAAATGTTACCGTTTTTTTGCCGGTTTCTCGAGATTAATGAATGAGTTATGACGATATTTGATATGACGGTAACCGCCTCTGTCTTTCCTTTATCCCATTCCTAGCCTCTCTGTACCCCGGGCCTCGTTAATTGTGAATAAAATAGCACAAGTAACAAACACAAATACATATCAAAACAGATGAGATAAAACATGATGGTTTGGTTAGTATTCACACTACCACAGAGTGCTGGATATTTTTCGAGGTAATTGGGGACAAGCCTCTCTATTCACGCTAATAAATTACATTCATACACCACAAGTTATTCACACTACCCACAGTGTTCAATATTTCTTGATTAGCCTCTCCATTCACGCTAATAAATTACATTCACATACCACAATTCCTTCACACCACTTCAGAATCCTCTAATTCCTTGTGGATAAGACCATACAATCACGCTAATAAATACATTCATTCTAATAAATAACACGTATCACCTACAGAACAGTTGAACAGTTAAAATTATTTATAGCCTGAAGATATTGAATCACCTATTTATATAGGGTGACTGGTAATAAGTGTCGAAAATTTCAGGCGTTTCTACTCACCATATTCAACAAAAAACTTCCTATAAACCCCTGTCTAAATCTCAACGGTAAAGAGGTAATTTCAGGTTTGGGTTTTTTATTTTTCCACTTAGGTCCACTTATTTACTTATAAACTTCAGAATTACTGATTGAAGAAAAATCTGATTTGAGCTACCTGAAATAACGTTAAATTTCCTGCAAGAAAACTTATTTACATTGCAGAATTGATAGAAAAGTTCTGCACGAAACGTTAAAAAAACAAACAAAAATGTTGAAATTTGAAAATGTTATATTGGCAACTGTTAATAACTACAAACTCCTGGAGTTTTGCAAATTACCTCAAAAGTTCCCTATTCGACCCAGCGGTATACCCAACTTTTTGGATGGAAAAAAATGAATTTATACAATGCTAGAAAATTTTAGAAAAAAAAGAATTTATACAATGCTAGAAATAAATTAATTTGTTTATCGAAAATTTTATAGCATTGTATAAATTCATTTTATGTATTTATTTATTTTTTCATCCAAAATTTCTAGTATTGTATAAATTCATTTTTTCACATCCTACATGTATTTGTAAAATTTAAACTATGTTTATAAATCCCAGGCGTTGAAGATGATCTCAATAAAGATCGAAACGTTGGCACGATAAAGAAAATGTTATTCTAAACCTATGTATCACGATCTCCGAATAATCATTGACTAACGGTCACTAAACACCACACATAATAATAATAATAATAATTCATTCCCTTGGACTATGTATCTATGGAAAATAGATTTCCATTTATATTTTACACGTTAATTATTATTATTCATTAGCAATTTGGTTTTGATTCCTTTCTTATGTAATATTTGTTATAACAAGTGAGATTCCTCTGCGCGGACTGCGGGATGACAAACGTCTAGTTTGGTCGTTACCGATCAGTTTGGTCTGGCGATCCTCACTGTGTCTGTCAGTTTCGGCATTGTGAGAAGAGAAGTGTGCCGTTATTTTATAAAATGAATGTTCAAAACAGTTATAATCGTCCCCTATCGCGTAAGATTGGGCTAACAAGGAGGCAGAACAATCTTGGTATCGGTTTTATTTTTTACGTAGGACTCTGAACATACAATTGATTCCCCGGAGATTTCGTCCGGCATAGGTTTTATGGTCTCGACGTCAATTGCGGGCTCATGAATTTTTTTAAGCTCCTGAACACAGGGTGAACTGCTTCGGAATCTTGGATTTCTATAATGGTGCGACAAATTAATCAATATAGAGGCAACACGGACTCGTTCTCTGACTGCTAAACAGCTTTCAAAAATAAGATTGAACTAGCTTTAAAGCAGTAATTCATTTAGCAGTGTTTTGTTCTTAATTTGTTTATTAAATCGCATTAATTTAGCTTTCTATTTATTTTTTGCGTCTGTCTTCGTTCTTTTGTTTAAAACCAATTTATATTTAATGTTTAGGGAATTTTTATCTCACTTTTTAGTGTTTGTCTGTGCACTTCCTGAATGTTGGGATTTTAGGCCATTCACACTGTGCGAACTATATAACGTATAAATAAATAAATTTGAAAAACATCTCGAGGATTTCTTCTAAATACTTTTTCAAAATGAATGTACAATATAGTTATGGTCGCCGCTATAACGTAAGACTACCTGTCTTCGGTTTTTTAATGGAAGATTGTGAACAAAGAAATTTATTATTGAACATATTACATTTCAACAAATTGAAAAATAGAACCTAGATGATAGAAACAAGCAGATAAGCATAAATTGACATATTACAATGCCAAATAGAATTCACCTACTAGCCAAAAATCCTCAAAGAAAACTGAGCTATTTTCAAAAATAAGATTGAACTAGCTTTAAAGCAGTAATTCATTTATCGAATCCTGATTAACCGACATTTGAAAAATGGTCAAAAGGAGGGAAAATTGGAAAAGTAGGTTGAGATGGAAAGTTGGTGTCGATAGCTCAAGTGGTAGATCAGCGGCGTATTTAGCCAAAGGTCGTGGGTTCGAATCCCTCTCCTGACACTAATTTTTTAATTTCAACCAATACCTTACATAAAGATTAATTAATTTTGTTTATTTTAAGCATAATATACATATCGTTAAATTGATGAATTATTGAAAAAACATGAATCACAGGTCAATTAATCTTATACAGCTGAAAGAAAAAACAGGTAAGGCATGGGATAAACATTAAATGATCGTAAAGCGTCTCTGGACTATCCATTTCTTTTTAATTATCCGTACTCGACAAACAAAAATAAAAACAATTGTTAAAGATCAGAGTAACGAAAATATAATGCAAATATGTGGAATTTAAATTATACAAATATGCGACTTTTATAAACAGAATGGAATTATAATTGAATGGTTTTTAAATTTTCTTCGTAAATGGATAAATGTAAGCTAAATATTGTTCGTGATGTAAAAGCGGGAAAAATTATTAATTCACTTTTCGTCAAGATAGGAATCTCATTTAAACACCCGGAAGTTTAAAAAACAAACAATTATGTTAAAACGAGAGTAATTTTGAGTGTCGTCGAACCCCGTCGTTAGGCTAATAGCCGATGAGTGGAACGGATTTCATTGAAGCTTGAGCACAAATCAATTATACGCTGTCGCCTTATCGTCGAATTTCCTCGGTTTGCCATTTTCCATTTTTTCTTCTTCTTCCGTAGATTGCCCACATTAATATTCATGTTGACAGAGGAGAACCTCGAATAAACACGATTTCTCGAGACGTGGAGAGCCTCAGAAATGCACCTCATGGCAAACATAAAGTGGCTTTTTCAATATTCGCATTGACATATGTTG